AAATCCAAAACTAGACAAACTTATGTTTAGCAATCAATGTCTTAGTATACCATCCTATCCAGAAATGATTTAGATCTTCAATGAATATCCACTATTTAGTTCAACTGAGTATAAGCTTTTATCTTATTTACATTTATTTGAACACATATTTTTAACAATTATGTTTGGATTAAACATATATAATTAACCACCATCTTAAGTTATTTTTCTTGTTGACAAATTCTGTAACAGAAATAGCAGGAGCTTACTTGACTAGTAAACCGGGTAGAAAAAGTTGTATGTTTGCATTACATTCAATATTGATAACTCTGAAGACATGCTTGTTTTTATTAAACCAACATGCTTAAACTATCTTTTATTTATCGAAGATTATCTCAGATCAGGTGAACTTGAAAAACACTGGGTTAGTTTCCATATTTCTGAGAGTTTTAGGAATACTTAATTTATATAAATGTTTAATTTTGGCAATACTATCCAGAGGTAGAAAACTTATCATATATGTCTTAAAATATCATATATGTAAATGTTGATGACATTTAAAAATATCATATATATGTCCATATATAGACATACAGATAGACACAAGCAGAGATCTTTAACAATTTTAGCCATGTCTAAGGTACAAAACTCAAAAGAACAGATGGATCCAAATTGTGTCTCTGGCAGACGGGCTAAGCTTACCTGCTGAGATGTCCAAAGATTTTTACTAAAGTTTTTTTTATTATTTACTTGCATGCTGTAATAATTCTTCTTAGAATGTTATTGAAGTCATTTTGTCTTTTGTCTTTGTTATTGAAGTCATTTGTCTTTGGTAATTAGAATCTTCTAATTACCAAAGAATGCATTCCACTGTCTCTTGAGAGTCGTGGAATCCTCTCTGTTAAGGATGCCCTTTAAGTTGGACTTATCTGAAACAAACTTTCCACAGGATGGCCATTACAGTTCCAAATTATCCAAAAGTTCACCCATCTCTAGAAAGGCACAAGATCCTGGTCCATGGACCAAGAGGAACCTCTCTTGCCTTTGGGTTCCCTAAAATGTCTTTACTATGATGGGTCCTGTTTTCAACAGCTGTTGTAAAACACTGGGAATCATGAGTTTCCTCTGCTTTTGGAAAGGATGGATGACTTGCCAAGAAGCTTCAACATACGAATTAAAATAATCTTCCCATTCCACTTGCTTAGTTTTAGATCTCTTATTTTCTAACTGTGCACACACATTAATTAAGGTATTTCAAATGAGTCCCATTGGAACCAAACAAGTTTTAAATCATCCTTGGTATATCAGAGCCATTTCTCTAAAAATCTACATGTGGAGGATCCATAATTTTTAAACGTAAATCCAGCAGGAGTCCCAAAAAGGGATTGAGTCCCTGTAGTAGTTTTAGACTGTGTACTTCCATTATATTTCCAGCAGAAGCCCCAAACAAGGGTTGAGTCCCCACAGCAAACACTGCATACATCCTGCTACAAGCATGTACTCACCAAAAGTGACCATAAATTCTCTTAAACCAGTTCCAAAAGATACCCAGAATAAAAATCAGAACCTCAACCAAGGCGGGAGTTTCAAAACTGAAAGGACAGGGGCCGGCCCGGTGGCGTAGCGGTTAAGTGTGCATGTTCCACTTCTCCGCAGCCTGGGGTTCACCGGTTCGTATCCTGGGTGCGGACACGGCACTGCTTGGCAAAAAAGCCATGCTGTGGCAGGTGACCCACGTATAAAGTAGAGGAAGATGGGCATGGATGTTAGCTCAGGGCCAGTCTTCCTCAGCAAAAAAAGAGGAGGATTGGCAGTAGTTAGCTCAGGGCTAATCTTCCTCAAAAAAAAAAAACAAAACAAAACTGAAAGGACTCACCACCTGGGTCAGGGGCCACTGGGAGATGACAGAGCATAAGAGATTCATGCAGGTACCTTGCTCAAAATGACCAGCTGTGCTGGAAATAGGTGGAAAGTCACTTTGGATCCCACATCTCTGACACCAAATACGTCAACTTAGAAAAAAGGGGCAACTGCAAAACAAAAGGAGACCATTTATTTGGGGTCTTACAATTGCAATTCAGGGAACACAGGTTCTGCAGCAGCCAGAAAAGTGCCCCCCTCAGGAGTAAAAGTCAGGAATTTTTATTAGCAAAAAGGAGAACTCAGAATAATGGCCTCAGTTGTTTGGTCGGGAGGGTAAATTTATGTCACAGTTCATTGGCTTACTCAAAGACATCTTGTTGCTATCAGAAAAAGTATATTTCTGCAGAGTCCTTCAGAAAGTCCTTTCTCAGCAAATAACTTCCTTTTAGCAAGTCAGCAAGGCCAACACAATTTCATATTTTTAGCAAGGTGGAGTCCAAGGTACAAAAGGGAGTCACTGTTGTCAACTTGTATCGCACCAGTTTTCTCACTAATATTCTATTTCTGGTCCGGGATCTAACAGAGGATCCTACCTTGCATTTAGTTGTTATGTACAATTGCACATCTGAAGAGTACTGGTCAGTTATTTTGTAGAATGTCTCTAAATTTGGGTTTTCTGGTGTTTGCTCATGCTTAGATTGAGATTCTATTTAAATTTGTTTTTAATTATTGGTAATTGCCTAAATTAGGTGACTTCATACACAGTCACACACACTTGTGTTTTGTAGTATTGCTACCCTAGAAACATAGGAATTCTGATCAATTATTTTTCATGTAATCCCATCAAAAAAGAAGGAAAAATGGTACATTTGTAATTGCAGATGCAACCATATTGAATAATTTCCATTTTGACGAGGCATTGATGAGAACCAAACATTCCACTCATCTGTTATGCGTCTGATGGTTGGAAGAATTTTCCACTGATTAGCTTCTAGCTCCACACACTTCAAATCTGATTATTCATGTCGTATCCACATACTTCTGGTTCTGAGCACTATCAGATCCACTCATGTTGTAATACAATATGGGAACAATACCATACAGTTATAGTATTGTAAGACAACAACATGCAATACAACAATATGGGAGCTTCTGGCTCCCCTACACTCACCCCTAAAAACCGACATGGAGATTTCTTTCCAGAGTAGTGAAAAGGAAAACATAAGTTTAAGGTCTCAGCAAGTCACTCTGCCACATTATTTTAACATTCTTGATCATGCTATATTTTAATGATAGAGATGTAATCTAATATCACTGAAGTTACCCTATCTTTTGATTTTACATGAAGATGACTTAGACTCTTTTCCTACATCTCTTGAGAGGACAGTAATCTCCTTAAGATTTTTTTGACTTCCCGGGGGCTTACATTGTATGTGTAGTAGACTTTCCAAGAAGGTTTGAGCAGATAGAGGGGTTTACAATTCAACAACATAAATGATTTAATACTGAACTTTAAACAGCCCTATTCCTAAAGTCTTTTGGTTACCCTGACACTGAAAAATTTTCACTGGTCACTTTTATCCATAAACTCTAGTTCCCGACATTTTTCTTAACTCTTTTTTTTTTTTTTTAAGTTTTATTGAGGTATAATTGACAAATAAAGTTGTAAGATATTTCAAGTGTACAAGGTGATGATTTGTTAACTCTCTTTTAGGGAGCCTTATCTTCTATCCTTTCTGACTGTTCACTCAAACTCAGATTCTTTTATCTTCCCGTGAGAGGCAGGTTAAATAGGTCTTTCTTAAACTGTGTCCTCAGGGCATCCTTCCCCTTCCTAAAGGTGTTATAAAGGTATTTTCCCAAACCAAGATAGTTGTCACCTCCAAGAGAAACTATGATTTCCAGCTTTTAAAGGCATTTTTATCCTACTTCCTACATAGAGTAAATAGTAATAACACAAAATTTGTACCATGTAACTATGATGCAGAGCAAGAGGCAGGAAAGCATGAGAGTTAGGCCCACAGGTTGTGGGGCCAGACTTCCAGGATTCAAAATCCTGGCTTGACTCAACAATAAAAAGATAAGTGACCCAACTAAAAATGGCCAAAGGATTGGAACAGACGTTTCTCTAAGGAAATGTTTCCAAAAATAAAATGGCTGGGGCCAGCCCAGTGGAACAGTGGTTAAGTTTGCACGTTCTGCTTTAGCAGCCCGGGGTTTGCCAGTTCAGATCCCAGGTGTGGACCTATGCAGTGCTTGTCAAGCCATGCTGTGGCAGGTGTCCCACACATAAAGTAGAGGAAGATGGGCATGAATGTTAGCTCAGGGCCAGTCTTCCTCAGCAAAAAGAGGAGAATTGGCAGCAGATGTTAGCTCAGGGATAACTTCCTCAAAAAATAAATAAAGTAAAACAGCCAATAAGTACATGGGAATATGCTCAGCACCATTAGTACTGGGTAGTGCAACTCCAAACCACAAAGAGATACCACTTCACACCGACTAGGATGACTAAAATCAACAGATAGATGATAACAAATGTTGACAGGCAGGAATGCAAAGGCACATGGTTTGATGGAGCTCACAGTGTTCTAAGAACTTGGACAAGGCTGGGTCAAAGGGTGGATATAGGTGAGGGATGGTAGGCAAGCTCAGAGATGCAGGCAACGTTCAGATCATGAAGGGCCTTGTGGGCCAAGCTAGAGTTAGAACTTCATCCTGAAATCAAGCCAGGGAAAGGTTTTAGGCAGAATGAAATAACTGGATTTACACCCAGCTGCTGTCACCGAAGCAAATTGTAATACACAATAAACCAGTTTCTCCTGTCCAGACTTCTCTGTGCTCTAGGTCTATATTTCCAACTACCTGCCAGACCTCTCTCTTGGGACGTCCTGGCCTCTCCTCCTGTGTTCCTTGAATTTAGGGAATGACACCACCCTTCTTTGTGCCTACACCCAACCTGTTGAGTACTGTTGGAGAAAATCATGCTCCCGGGTATGTTGGTGCCAGGACAAATTAATGATCAACAACAAAGTTGTCTACCAGCATATTCATTAATTTCCTTCGTTAACATGCTCAATAAATGTTTGGAGATAAATGAATGTGCACTTGACCCAGTTAGCATCATTTTCTTTTTCTCTTCCAAGCATTCATTTAAAAGATAAATCCGCAGATCCGTTCATTAGGTTACTCCTTTCTGCCCGTGGATGCTGATGAGTGGTGCCCACTTAACTGTGAAAAAGACTTTTGCTGGGGCATTAAAGAAGACACTGAAGAACATCACCTAAGAGATTATTTTGAACAGTATGGGAAAATTGAAGTGATTGAAATCATGACTGACAGAGGCAGTGGCAAGAAGAGAGGATTTGCTTCTGTGACTTTTGACGATCATGACTCCGTAGACAAGATTGTCATTCAGAAATACCATACTGTGAACGGCCATATCTATGAAGTTAGGAAAGCCCTATCTAAGCAAGAGATGGCTAGTGCTTCGTCCAGCCAAAGAGATCGAAGTGGTTCCGGAAATTTTGGTGGTGGTCTTAGAGGTGGTTTTGGTGAGAATGACAACTTCGGTCACGGAGGAAACTTCAGTGGTCAAGGTGACTTTGGTGGCAGCCATGGTGGTGGTGGATATGGTGGCAGTGCGGATGGCTATAATGGATTTAGTAATGATGGAAGCAATTTTGGAGGTGGCGGAAGCTACAATGATTTTGGCAATTACAACAATCAATCTTCAGATTTTGGACCCATGAAAAGAGGAAATTTCAGAGACGGAAGCTCTGGCCCCTATGATGGTGGAGGCCAATACTTTGACAAACCACCTTGATTTCGTGGTTTCAAAGAACAGTTTCACAGTTAAGTGGGCACCAGGTCTTTGAGAATCTTCTCTTGAGACGGCCCTCTTTGGTTCCACAACTCTTCCATCCGCCTTGTGTGGCCTTGCATTCATAGCTGCATCCACCTCCTCCACAGTGGCGTACATGACAAAGCCAAAGCCTCTAGAGCTCTTGGTGTTTGGATCTCTCATTACCACACAGTCTGTGAGCATTCCCCATTGCTCAAAATGGCTCCTGAGACTCTCATTGGTTGTTTCAAAGCTCAAACGTCCGATGAAGAGCTTTCACAACTGTTTGGGCTCTTTGGGAGACTCTGACTTAGACATGACTGCAGTGGGAGGGGAGACTAACGATGCTTACTCGTCGGCATCCACTGGCAGAAAGGAGTAACCTAACGAACGGATCTGTGGATTTATCTTTTAAATGAATGCTTGGAAGAGAAAAAATGATGTTGACTGGGTCAAGTGCACATTCATTTATAAATTGTGTGTCAGCTGATGAGTAGATAAACAAAATATAGTAGATCCATACAAAGAAATATTACTCAGCCATAAAAAAGAATAAAGTACTAATACATGCTCCAATATGGATGAATCTTAAAAACTTATGCTAAATGGAAGAAGCCAGATACAGAAGGCCACATATCACATGATTTCACTTATATGAAATCTCTAAAGGCAGATCCATAGAGAGAGAGAGTAGATTAGTGGTTGGCAGTGACTGGGGAGATGGGGGAATAGGGAGTGACTGCTAATGGATACAAAGTTTCTTTCGGAGGTGACGAAAATTTTATGAAATTAGATAGTGGTTTTGATTGTACAACCTTGTGAATATAATAAAAACCCCTGAACTGTACACTTCAAAAGGATAAATTTTGTCGTATATTAATTATATCTCAATACGAAATTAGTTAATTGATATTTAAAATGTAAAAAACAATGCCCTCACACATATTTTGAATGATAACAATTTCACAGAAAGATCAAAAGATTAATTTCACTTTTGAAATATCCTCGTCTATTCCTAGCAAGAACGCAGTTGTGTCAGTTTAAAGACAGCATGAATTCTCTTGGTCTCTTAACTATGGAGAGGTAAGGTCTTTGTGTCCCAGTTCATCTTGAATCTTGGTGAGCTCTACGTGACTTCTCTAACCAATAGACTGCATGGAAGTGACACTGTGCCAGTTTCCAAGCCCAGTCTTTGAGACTTCCTTTCTTTTCAATATCACTCCTTGAATCCTGTCATTATATAAGAATTCCAGCAAGGCTGCTGGAAAGACCATGGAGAGGTCCTGAGACTGCACAGAGAGGGGAGCAGCTCACCTGAGCTCAGCTTCTAGCTATTCCTCCAGAGATTCAAGACATGTGAGGGGAGCCTTTTTGGACCCCACCCCCCTAGACCAACCCAACACCATTTGTATCCCATGGAGTAATCCTAGTCAACTCCACAGAGAGCGGAAGAATTGTCTAGCTGAACCCTGCCTGAATTCCTCATCCTGAGTCATGAACCATTTAAAATAAATACTGTATAATCCCTATGTGTGCGTGGATTGTTACACAACCGTAGACAACTGAAACAACTTCACAAAGAACTGTCATAGAGAACTCTTGCTAAACATGTATTTGCAAAATAATTTCCTTAAGCAATAGAAAGCAATAGATAGCCTTACTAGTGAAATCTTACTATCCACAGATTTATCTTTTATCTCCAAACATTTATTGAGCATGTTAACACAGGAAATTAATGAATATGCTGGTAGACAACTTTGTTGTTGATCATTAATTTGTCCTGGCACCAACATACCCGGGAGCATGATTTTCTCCAACAGTACTCAACAGGTTGGGTGTAGGCACAAAGAAGGGTGGCGTCATTCCCTAAATTCAAGGAACACAGGAGGAGAGGCCAGGACGTCCCAAGAGAGAGGTCTGGCAGGTGATTGGAAATATAGATCTAGAGCACAGAGAAGTCTGGACAGGAGAAACTGGTTTATTGTGTATTACAGTTTGTTTCGGTGACAGCAGCTGGGTGTAAATCCAGCTATTTCATTCTGCCTAAAACCTTTCCCTGGCTTGATTTCAGGATGAAGTTCTAACTCTAGCTTGGCCCACAAGGCCCTTCATGATCTGAACGTTGCCTGCATCTCTGAGCTTGCCTACCATCCCTCACCTATATCCACCCTTTGACCCAGCCTTGTCCAAGTTCTTAGAACACTGTGAGCTCCATCAAACCACGTGCCTTTGCATTCCTGCTTGATCCGCTTGGATCATCCCTTCTACCTCATCTGTAGGCTAACTTGGCTCAACCGTCCCTCCTCCGGACCTCTTCGCTATCGCTTTCCTTCCTCAGTTGGAGTTTTGTACCCCTTCCCCAGGAGTGCTCCCCTTTGTACTCCCAAATGCCCTGTGCTATTTGTACAACAGCCCTTATCACAGTGCACCAATACTGACAATTTTCTTGGATGTTGAAAGAACAAACATACCACACTGCTCCAAGGGTCGCAGTATGAACACTCCCAAACATAAACCCATTTGTCTTCTCCCCGACCCAGGCCCACAGTCCTCTCCCTCCCAAACTCCTCACTGGAATTCCCTTTTCATGAAGAATAAACGCCTTTACATCCTCAGCCCTGGTAGATCTAATGCTCCTCCAATTCCCAGCCTCAGCTGAAGCCTGGCTGTGTGCTGAGGACACCTCTTTGCCTGTAGTTTCTCAAGTGGAGGCTGTTTGTTCTCCCACACCCTGCAAGCCACAGCCTCCAGGAGGTGGGCTCACTGTCCTCTCCACACCCTGCTCCTGCTTCCAGACCTTTACTGCGTCCTCACATGAAGCCCCTGCTCCTCTGAGGCTCAAGTCATGAGCTTGTTCCTCTCTGTCTCTGTCCTGGATTTACTTCCCTCCCAAGTCTCTTCTTTTACTGAAGACTTTCGTGCCTGGTTCTCAGCCTTCTTGTCCTAACACTGCCATCTTCCGGTTGACTTCATTATTTTTACAAATGAGCCAGCAACTTCCTGGACCCTCAGGCCCTTGGCCTCCTCATCTCCAGGAACCTTCTTCTCTACCTCCTCCCTGCCCCTCAGTCTGTCAGGACGTGGAACCATACACCTCTAAAGTCCTACATTCAGACCTCCCACCCTCTTACGGCATCTCCTACTCATCTAGCTATTCTGTGGCATGAATCCCACCGTAGCGTTTATTTCATCCTAGGACCTCCAGACCACTTTAAGCCCCTCCTGTCACCACTTCCTTTTTTATCCAACTGGGATTTCGTACTCATCTCTTCCCTCATTCTCTTGCCAATATCCTCAGCCTCCTGACCCTCTTGTCTTTCTGCCCCAAGAGGCTGATAATCCCTAACTCTGGATGAACCCATGCATCTGTCCTCTTTGTGGAGCTGACAGATGACAGCTGCTAGAGAAAAATCACATTGTCTTGCACTTTGATGCCATTATAAGTACGTAGCCTCCAACGTCACCCAGGGCCTCCAATAAAACTGTCAAGCTTTTTTTATTTGCCTGATTGCCACTAACTTAATCTCCGCAATGATTATTTCAAACATTCACTACCATTCTTAAAACATCTTGCCTCAATTTCAGCATGTATCCTAGCCTTTTAACACACACACACACAAACAGGGACCATCAGAAGGAAAATTCTTCAATATTCTGCTACCAAGTTTGCAAGTCTATTTGAATTCCTGCTCATCTTGTCTTCCTTTCCTCTTAAGATGAATTTCTCTCTAGCCATCTTCTCCTGCTTTCTCAGAGACCTTACTTATCATTTATCTCCTGTCTCCCCTTGATCTTTAACTTTTCCCTCTTTGCTCTCTAAAAATGCTCCTACCATCCCACCACCCTCTCCTGATACTAACCTCTTCTCTCCTTCCCAGCTTGAAAGAGTTGGCTACATTTTCTTACTTTCCACTCGTTTCTCAGCCTACTCCAATCAGGCTTCCACTCACCACTTCTCTGAAGCTGCTCTCCACAGTGTCACCAATGACTTATATGATGCTAAATCTAGTGGACACGTTTCAGTTCTTAGTTGCTTGACTTCTCAGTAGCATGGCACACTTGATGGGTACCTACTTCTCCTATTTTTAACAGCTTTACTGAGGTATAATGGACATGCAATAATCTGCACATGTTAAAAGTATACAGTTTGATGAATTTTAACATTTGTATATGCTCATGAAACCATCACCACAGTCAAGACAATGAACATGTCCATCAGTCCCAAAAGTTTCCTTATTCTTCTTGGTAAAACCCTCCCTTCCCTCCCCACTTCCTCCCGCCCCTCCCCACTTCCTCTCCTCCCCAGAAAGCCGCTGATCTGCTTTCTATCACCACAGTCTATAATCTTCAGTCTGCATTTTTTGTAACTTTATATAAATGGAGTCATACACCATGCACTCTTTTTTGTCTGGCTTCTTTCACTCAACATAATGACTTGGAGATTCATTCAGGCTGTTGGGTACATTACAAGTCTATTCCTTTTTATTGCTGAGTAGTATTCATTGTGTGCATATATTATCCATTCACCTGTTGATGGACATTTGGGTTGTTTCGTGTTTTATATTGTAACAAATAAAGTTTCTATGATCATTCACATACAAGTCTCTGTATGAATAAACTTTCATTTCTCTTGGGAAATTACCTGGGAGTCAAATGATAGGTGTATGTTTAACTTACATTTAACTTCTTAAGAAATTGCCAAACTGTTTTCAAATTGGTGTACCATTTTAAATTCTCAAAAGCAGTGTATGAGAGTTCCAGTCGCTCCACATTCCCATTAATGCTTGGTATGGTCAATCTTTTTTATTTTAGCTATCATAGTAGGTATGTGGTGATATTTTATTGTTTTTTTTTTAAAGATTTTATTTTTCCTTTTTCTCCCAAAGCCCCTTGGTACATAGCTGAGTATTTTTAGTTGTGGGTCCTTCCAGCTGTGGCATGTGGGACACCGCCTCAGCATGGCTGGATGAGTGGCGCCATATCCGCACCCAGGACTCAAACCAGCGAAACCCTGGGCCACCGAAGCAGAGCGCAAGAACCCCACTACTCAGCCACAGGGCCGGCCCCCCTATTGTTGTTTTAATTCATATTTCCCTAATGACAAATGATATTGAGCATTTTTTATGTGTTTATTTGCCATCTGTATATATTCTTTGGTGAAGTATCTGTTTAAATCACTGACCATTTTAAAAATGGAATTGTTTTCTTAATCTTGAATTTGGTGAGTTTTTAAAAGTATATATTCTGACTACATATCCTTTATCAGATACGTGATTTGTGAGTATTTTCTCCCAGTCTTTATCTTTCAAAGAGCAGAAGTTATTAATTTTGATGAAGTCTAACTTATCAATTTGTTCTTCTAGGATTGTGATTTTGGTGTTGTAAGTATCCATGTCTTGAAACATCTTTTTAATGCATTCTATTACTACACATTCTCTGGGTTCCCTCTGGTGCCAGTTATCAATTTATTGCCTCTCAGCTCCAATTCATCCTTTTTGCCTGCTCCATGAAAGTGGAAAT